AACTACCAATGGAATGGTGGTCTAATGGTAACATAAATTGAATTAGTTGATTTTATGTTCTGGATCAAATCTTTTACTGTGATGGAATATTATTTTTTAAATCAGAATATCTTAAATTTGATCTCCAAAGAGATTGAAAAAAGGCAAAAAAAAAAAAATTGCAACATGAAAAAAGAAAAGAAGCAAAGCCCAAGAAAGTAGGATTACTACAAACTACCCAAACCATCAAACATGAAGTCATAACATTTTGGCAAATTTAATGTTTGGAAGGCAAATATTTCAGAGGGCACAAAAAGCTTGAAGAGTAGATTGAGCTCTACGACCAGCATCTGTCTGAAAGAAGCGAATGAAATCACCATATTCAAAGGGTTTGAATATACGTGGATGTTCTTCGTCCACAAGTTCTTCTGGTGAATCAATGATAACTTCGTCTTTTGGAACCGAGAACAAAGCGGTCGAATACCTTGTCTTCTTCATCATAACTCGGTGATATGGAGAAGACAATCGACCATTCAAAAGTGCCTTCAACAATCAACAAGTAGACGATTAATCATTATCTAGTTCAAATTAATTAAGTTTGTGTTATTAAAATGACCAATGTTGGAACTTACCCATAAAGAATCTCCAACCATAACAATGAAAGAATCTTGAGATGGTTTCACTTTGATCCATTTTTCGTCTTTGGTTTTCAATTCCAAACCATCAACTTCATACTGATGAAGTATTGTGATTATGCTCTTATCGGTATGAGAACGTAAACCTAAGTTGGTCTCTTCTACATCATCATTTTCAGCATCAAAAGGAGGTGATGTATACTTCATCATTCGAAAAAAGTAATTCGTAGAATTTAGATGTTCATTGACATATTTCTCTATCCCAAAACTCTCCATAATCATTCTTCTTACCATCACATCCAATTCCGATAATTGCTCCGAAAACTTATGGATCGTCTCACTAATTTCAACAAAAACAAATATTTGAGTTTTTAAGAATTTGAAAGAATGTTTCAAACGTAAACTAGTCAAAATGTTGTGACGCAATATTTAGACACAAACAAAAATTTGTGATTAAGTCGTTGACTTTAATTACAATTGTACCTGATGCTTTTGTTTCCAAGATCAGGCCAAATCTGTTGAGCAAAGTCGTTGACTTTCTCCAAAACGTTAGCATCATCGACTCCTAAACTCTGGTAAAGATTATGATTAAGATATCCATGGAAAGGTTTGGGCGACACGTTTCTCTGTTTGGTCTGAATCGGCAACTCGAAAAGCTCTTGCATAGCTTCAAAAACAGACTTCTTAAGCTCCATAGACACTTTACCAAAAGAAGCTTCAAAACAGCCATAGTCTTCTAAAGCTTTACGAACATCAAACTTCACTTGATCCCACTTTGAGCTTCCTGGCTTTAGGGTTTGGTCTGAGAAATCAATAACTGGTAGCTGAAAGGAAGAAACAGGAAGAAGAGAGTCTGAATCCATTTCTTGATTTCTGAGAATTTTGGGAGTTGTATTTGGTTTTGATTTTTCCTTAAATGCCAATTTTTCTTTGGTTATAATGTAATATTAAATTCTAAAACTTGTTGACTAGCTGTTATGCTTATGCGTAGCTAGAATTTTGGTAATAATGTAATATCAAATTCTAAAACTTGTTGACTAGCTGTTATGCTTATGCGTAGCTAGAATTTTAAAAAATTATGTTAAGATTAGCTGTTATGCATAGTTTAGTTTTTTGGTCAAGATGCATAGTTGTTAATTTGTAATTAAAAAAATTATGTTATAAGACCATCTCCAACCCAAAGCTTTATATTTTATTTTAAAATGGAGTGACTTTAAAATAGAGTTGTGTTTTACTCCAACCTTACTCCATTTTTAGAGTAAAAAATAAAATGAAGAACAAAAAAATAAAGTGATAAATGGGATTACTCCATATTTGAAAACCTACTTTGTATTCTATTTTGGAGTGAGATTTGGAGTGGAGTTGGAGATAATTTTACTCCAAAATGATATGGAGTAGGGTTTGGAGTGTTGTTTGAGATGCGTTTGCTGACATTGATGGCCACCATTAATAAATATCTATTTTTAAATGTATAATATATATGTGCTTCTTTGTACAATAAAATAAAAATTTTGAAATACATTAATTTTTTGGGGTATGCTAGAAAAAAATACTTCAAATTTGACTACCCACCAAAACATTTTTGAAAACATTTTTTTAACTAGAAAATTAATATTTCCGGGACTAGATTGAATTTCCAGCCGTTTCGCGGTTTAGTCAAACTTAATTTTACACAATTAACTAAAAACAAATCGACACAATTTATAAACTACTGAATATTCCTAATATAATTGTTATTAATTAGTAACTACAAAATCTAGATTGCACCGATTTATTATTAAGATCGAGTTTCTTCTTTAACATCTTTTAGATCCATCTCGACTTCGCTATCTCACTCTTGATGCTGTAGCTTATTTAGTCACAAAAAGATGTACTAATGGGCGTTCCTTCCTTGGCAAAGTATCTCTCTATGGAACCTGTTTTGTTCTTCACTCGTCACTTTCCTATGGAGAAAAACCTTAATTGGAAAAAGTATTTCCTCAATGTCCGCCTCGTCAAAGCTAAGCTTCCTATAATGAATATAACATGAAGTGTTGATCCATATGCGTCGACGTAATTAATTAAGTAATGTCTTAAACAAAACATCTATCTATCTATCAATACTTATAAATGAGAAGTCGAAAATCCTACGTGCCGGCTCCAGAATGAGTTTAAAATTTGGTTTGCCTATATTACCCTTAATAAATCAATATAATTAGATTTTCATGCCATCCACGTTTTATTATATTGGGTTTTGTTAAAAAAATTTGTTCAGACCCATATACATTGATATAAAACACTCATGAAACCTTAATGAAATCCAATAAATAAATCGATACTTAAAATTCAGCAGAAAAGAAAACTGCAAAACGATTATAGACCTAGGCTCTTGACGGCGACGGAGATTTTTGAATATGTGCCTTTCTTGGTTCTTCCTTTGAGTTTTTGTTGAGAAACAATGTTTGGTTTATTTGGTGTAAAACGTTGATACGGATGAGGATTTTGTTGTTGGTTTTGTTTTCTTGGGGTTTGTTTGATAAGAGATGTGTATTAACGAAACTATGTGCATAAAATTCTTTGATTGCGATTAGCGGTTTTCTCTATGGGTTATTTGGGAAATTTGGAGATGTTCGATATCACTTTTGTTGGTATCATCATCATAAATAAAGCTTTAATGGAGAGGTATGGTTATAACTTTGGTGGAGCTGTCCCCCTTGATGTCTAAAGCTAATCATCATATAGNCATGGNCCGTGAGATCTAGATTTCGTTGATGTCAATCCAAAGATGTTTCTTCCGGAAGNATGANAGAAGAAGATGAGAGAATTATAAGAGTTTTGGTTTTGATTGAAACCTCAATGATTGAGATGCTAGAATTGTGTTATTTGAACCAAACGTTTCATACATGTTTCGA